TAATTTTTGATTTATTGTAGAGACAAGGTCTTGCCAAGTTGCCTGGGCGGGTCTCGAACCTGCAGGCTCAGGCAATCCTCTCGCCTCACCCTCCCAAAGTGCTGGGATTACAGGCTGAGCCACCAAGCCCAACTTAATTTTTTTACTATAGAGACGTCTCACCAAGTTGCCCAGGCTGTTCTTGAACACATGACCTCAGGCAATCCTCTCATCTTGGGCTCCCAAAGTGCTGGGATTACGGCTTGAGCCACCATGCCTGCTTTCACTTACAAAATTTTAAAGACTTCCCCTGAACTGAAAAATGGAGAGCTGAAACCAAAAGAAAAAACTTATGGCTGGGCGCGGTGGCTCAGCCTGTAATCCCAGCACTTTGGGAGGCCAAGGCGAGTGGATTGCCTGAGCCTGAGGAATTGAGACCAGTCCGGGAAACTTGGTGAGGCCTCATCTCTACGATAAAGAAAAAAATTAGCCAGGCGTGGTAGTCTGCACCTGTAGTCCCAGCTACTTGGAAGGCTGAGGCGGAAGGGGCACCGGAGCCTAGCAGGTCGAGGCTGGGGTGGCCGTGAGCATGCCACTGCACTCCAGCCTGGGCAACAGAGTGAGACTCCAACTCAAAAAAAAACACAAAAACCAAAAAACAAATAAAACTTATAATTTATTTAGAGTCACAATATCCATACATGAAAAGAACTAACACTCATAATACAACACACAAAATCTCAAAGTTAATTTAGTGTAAAGGAAAGATCTGTGGTTTCTTATTATTACACATTGTCCTTAGGAAATGAGTTTTATATAATGTATAACGAGAAAATGGGTATTTTAATTCTCTTTTTTCTTTCTTTCTTTTTTTGTCTGTGGGGTGCCCAGAAGAGGAAGACATACTTAAAGTGAAATACCATGCTGAATTAACCAGACAAATTGGGAACTCACTGGGAAAGTGAAAACTGAGAGGAGTTAGTGATGAGTTCAACAAAGCGCTTAGCCACTTACCCAGAGATTTATTTAATGACAATGGATCGCAGGTTTCCACAGGTCATTCCACTGCCAGTAAGAAGACAGTCATGAACCTTGGGTCCCTTTTTTCACGAGTCAACAGTCACCCTCACCTACACGCGGAGTACATATTTGGCACTCAACAAATCTTGACTGAATGAAAACTTGCCTCACGCATATAGGCACCCAACCCGGGAGTTATGGCCCTACAAATTATCTCCAAAATGCCTTACAGACCTAAACCAAATTGCTGAGAAACTACAGAGGAAAGCTCTGGGGATCTCTGTAAAAACTGGAAACGAAACAGCCAGCCATGGTGGCTCACACCTATAATGCCAGCATTTTGGGAGGCTGAGATGAGAGGATTGCCTGAGGCCACAGGTTCGAGACCAGCCTGGGCAACTTGGCGAGACCTTGTCTCTACAATAAATCAAAAAATTAGCCAGGCGTGTTGGCGTGCCTAGTCCCAGCTACTTGGAAGGCTGAGGTAGAAGGATCGCCTGCGCCTAGCAAGTCGAGGCTGCGGTGGTGGCAGAATGTGCCACTGCCCTCCAGCCTAGGCGACAGAGTGAGACTCTAACTAAAAAACAAAAACAAAAACAAAAGACCGAGCTCGGTGGCTCAGCCTGTAATCCCAGCACTTTGGGAGGCCGAGGTGAGTGGA